ATGCGGTGGTGGCGGGGGGTGGCGGGGGGTGGCAGGCGGCTAGCAGCGTCTGGCACGCATACATACAAGGGCTGACATACAAACAGACAGTGTGTTTTCAGCTTATGGACAAGTCCATAAGGCCATAGTTAACACCTTGTAGCAGCCACGTACTAATGCCAAAGCTCAGCGCACTCGCATCGCCACAAACTGTGTCAGCTAAGCAATTTTTGTATGGCAGGCAGGCAAAAAGTTTTGTGGCCAACGACTTTGCCAACGACTAAGATGCTATATAAACCCCAACTCACACACACACACACACACAGCTCACATATACAGATACATGAGGCAATGGCATGACATCCCAAGGGGCGCGCATGGCTGTCTGTCTCTGTCCTTAGCTCTGTCTCTGTCTGTTGCTGTCTGCACGTGGGTCTCGCACTCGTGTGGGTCGCTTCGATATATTTGTGTGCGCTATGTAAACGTGTTTTTTGACAGTAATAGTTTGTAATATAAATTCACACCAGCTCGCCAGCTCGCAGCAGCAGACAGGAGGAAAGGTACAGGCAGAGGCGGTGACGGTGACGGGGACGGAGACGGGGGCAGAGGCTAGGCACAAAGGTATACTCACACACAAGCACACCTCAGTCCACAGCACATTTACTCTCACACAGTTGCAGCCGGCAACAAAGTATTTTTGTACGTGTAACAAAAAAGCCATTTAAGCATTTTGAGGTTTTTGGCTATTGAGGACGATGAAGGCGACGAAGGCGACGAAGGCGATGACGGTGGATGCGCTGCTTTTTAGCTTACCTTTGGGTCTTAACGCGTATAACCTCACAATTTTATAGCACGACATGTGTACGAGTATGTGTGCGAGTGTATTGGTGTGGGTGTGCATCTACGAATTATTTGGCAGCGCATAATAGCAGCAAGTCTTGATCCATTTTAATATATACTCAGCACACATAAAATGCTAGTCTGTATGTATGTATGCTAGTCTGTGTGTGTCGTTTACCTTTTGCTCTCATTTTTATGGCCCAAATGCCACACAAAACAATTTTCTATAAATTAAACTAATAGAGCAGAGCAAGGGTTATACAGTCCCCGCATTTTCGCATATTTCTGCGGAGCGTTGATGTACGTACGCACGAGTATGCATGTAGGATACATGGAGAAAATACACTTACATAAGACTATAAGGCCGTTTTGTTCCATAATTGAAAATTGCGTTCAAGTTGCAGTTGAAGCTGGCAAAGGACCGGCCCCACCACACCAGCACGCCAATGGCGTTTTTCTTGTCATGGTCATCGCTTATCGCGCCCCTTTTCAGGCGATTTCCTTGTCTGGCTGCCTGTAATTCCGCTCCACTCACTGTCATTGATGTGGCCAGCGGTTTCATTGCCCGGACTCGTCGTCGTCGTCGTCGTCGTTGCTCTCATCATTTCCACTGTTGATGATGCACATTTCATGTTAATGCAATTAAGTTTTAATTGTTGAATTGTTGATCTTAACGCATGATTTCATATTTATGCGTATTAATGTGATGCCAACCGCCTGAATATGTCGTGGTTGTTGCTGTTGCTGCTGTTGTTGGCATTGTAATTGCGCTGATAAGCACGGCATTTAAATGTCGCATTTATTGTAATTATATATTTGTATAACATTTTAATATTTTAAATCGCTTGATTAAAGTCGGTGACACAAATTGTGATCGTTTTTGTCTCGCTGTCAATCTGTTAATATAAATTGATGTTGTTCTTTAATCTTTGTTTAAGAAGCCGAGCTTGCCCTGCTGTCAAATATTTTGTAAATATTTTTGTTGTACTTCGTATTAACCGTATTCGATTTTATTTTCAATTAGTTGTTATGATGTTTTAAATTAATTTGATATGTATGCGTATAATTTACTTAAAAATCAAAGTCTTGATCAAAGTGTAAAATCATCATAAAATCATGCTGCAGTGCATTTATGTCCTTGCCATTTCAGTTCACAGTTATTTCCTGTGACCGAAATATGTAGAATTTCATGCCTACAACAATATGTATCAATCAGGATGTAAACTTTATTTATGGTTTCTCTTATCGAAATGCCAGCGAGGCAAACCCAAAACAATAAAATGGCATTTCTGTTGAAACATGTTTTAACACTAATTAAAATTGAATATGCTAATCAATTGTTTGCGTGTACGGCTTTGTGTTTGTGTTGATGAATGTGCGTGAGTTGAACAAAATTTTTACATTTGTGGTTTTCAACACAATTTGTAACTGACGTACAAGGGGCAAACTATACACATATATGTCCACATCTTCTGGCAGGCCAACGCTTCGCTCTTGCTCCCTTTGTGCGGATAAATATATGTACACGTATGTGTGTGTGTGTGTCGTTTCAAAAAGGTAATTTTATTAAAATACGAAGCTGTTATAGCAACAACGATAACAACAAACATAAAATACAACATTCATTTCAATATTATGAACTGCAAAATTGTGTTAAATGTTATATGTTATTTCCATTGGCATTTATTTTCATTTCGTTGAACCGTAAAATGACCCAAAAAATATATATCGACAAAAGCAAATAGGCCAAATTGTTTATTTCAACTCCAATTTAGGCAAAATTTTAATGATGATTGCCCCGAACCACAGACTTTGACCCCAGTCTCGGGTGAACATTTGTGTGTACCCTTTTTGGCAGGCTGTTGATTTTGCCATACGACGAAAAAGGCTAGTAAACAGATTTGTGTGTGATTTTTACCAATTGTAATTATTTATGCAGCTGTTGGAATTTACGGCCTGCATATTTTGAAGCACGCTTTTCCGGCCAAGTAATTAATTACAGCTACCTACCAAGTTCTACTTGTATCATGCGAGGCTGACGAGGAGCGCTTAAGCAAGCAGCTGTACCAAAAGGAACTAACACCTTGCAGTTGATTGCGACACTTTCCCGTTAAAGTCGGAGCTGAATTTTCTACAGCAGTACAGCGCTGTCTTTCGAACACACACCTACACACCTACACACACGCACGCACACACAGACTCATGCAAACATAGCTAAAGCATTTCTGCTTGCCCAAAAAGTACTCAAAAATATGTTACCAGCAACATAAATTGTGACAGGCGAAAGTTTTCAATATGTGGCTGTGGTTATGTCTTTCGGCAACACACGCACACCCACACACACACACACACACACACACACACACACACACTGTTAAATCAACACTTGCCGTCAAGAGGGGGCGGTGACGTTTTACATTTATGAGCAATATGAGCTTATAGCAACAAATGTCAAGGCATGTGCCATTCGCCTGTCGGTTGCCTTCTCTGTGGCATGTACCCAAGTCAAGTTAACATTTGACATGTGATTGAAAACTTTGACTTGGCTATACATATGTACATGCATATGTGTGTGTGCATACTCGCATATACCTTATGTATATGTATGTATCGCCAGTATGTCTGTATGCATATACTTATATGGGGGTAACCAAAGCAAAAATGAGTTAGCTGCTGATGAGGTTTAAAGGAGAGAGTTGTGGTAAAGCAACAAAAGAGCGCAAAAAATACTCTGCCGCTTGACTTTGACTTATACACGTACATATGTACGAGTATGTGTGTGGCTGCTGTCTGTGCGAGAAACTTGGGGGTCGTGTGTATGCTGGCAAGTTTTTAATAAAACGCTCTTGTCTTATGACAAATTCCAGGTTAGCACAGCGAAAAAAACCATAAAGTTTTAGAAGCAGCTGCAGTTGCAAGCCAACTCGTTATACAAGTATGAAGAAAATTGCAAAATATTTTGAATATTGCTGCTACCAAAAAATGAATGACTTAAACGAAGAAGAATATTTTTGAAAATAAAAACTGCAAGTAGAACGTTTCAAAAAGTTAAACTAATACTTAGAACACATGCTCGTACGTCACTGCGGCTTTGTTCAGGTTACTGACTAGTGTTATTAGATTCTAGTCGACATGAAAATATATTTTCCAACACATCCCACATTAATACCATTCTAAGCACATATATTTTTCAGTACTTTTATTTAGACCGACATAAATATGATATTTCAGTTTCACTTGCTTGTGGGTGGGTGGTTTGAATTGTATAAAAAGGCATCGAAAAATTCAGCAAAAATACAAAATATATTTGATGTATGTACATACCTGTGCAAAAATATAAGCACTGTATATTTATGTGCAGTAATATATCAATAACAAAATGGCCAAACTTCAATTCAGTTCAGCCATTAACTGCAGTAGCAGCCACAGCCAGCCAACCTTACGTGAATATGTTCCATAAGCGCATGAAGAACATTGAAAACCACTTAAGCAACACAAAAGCGAACACAAATAAGCATGAGCAAGACTCACACACACTCACATACACAGTGTGGCTGAAATAATTTTATTTGCATTCGTTCGTATACCCTGCAAGAAAGGGTATATTAAGTTTGTGAAAAGTAAAGAAAATTTCAAATGAAGGAAGCATTTTCGACCTTGTTAAGTATATAAATTCTTGATCAGCATTAGAATCCAAGTCAATCTAGCCATGTCTGTCCGTCTATCTTAGTTCTCAGAGAATAGAAGAGCTAGAAACACAAAATTACACATAGATGCCTTATACATATGTGTACGCAGTACACGCGTATTTTTTATGTGCTCCCTCCCACTCCCCTGCTTTTACTGATTTTACATAACTTCCGTACTTCTTGGAATATACTTAAATTGGGCAATTACAAGTATATCCATTCAGTGCTAATGTGCCACCATGTTGTTTCATTATAATACTATGTGAATTGTTGAGATAGTTATAGCCATAGATGTAATCTCCGACAAAGCTCTACCAGCAGTTGTTGTAGTTGCTGCAACTTCCGCTCAACTTTGTAATGCACACACACATATACATAAATGTATTGTTTTGAAACTGTACATAAACAAACACATGTCTTTACCTATGTATTGTATATTTTATATCTTATTTCATTAATTTAATAAAAAATTGTCTTCTTTGTTTTGTGTAGACGGAAGGACGGAAATGACCAGCTTTTACTTTCGTCTCGTTGCGTTGGACTTAATGGAGTGTGTGGTAAAGTGTCTGAAATGGTCCCTACCATCATGAGCTGGCTACTTAGGGTGCGAACCCTTCTCCAAATTTAATCCTGCAGACAAGGTAGCATCTAGCTACCATCACTCAGCGCTTCAGTTTGTTGGCCCGACTCTACTGTCTGCCTATTAAATTAATATGCCACATTCGCTCCCAACAGGTTTCGTTGCAGGCATGCTTTTTTATTTCGTTTGCCGAAAAACAGCGGAACTTCCATATAAGCAAATTTTTGGGTGTTAACTGAAGAGGTCCCAAGCATCCTGTTCCTGCAATTAAATTAAATTGAAACATAAAATCCTTATCCAATCTGTGAACACAATAATGAATTATATTTGTAACGCTATATATAAAGAATAAAAATAATTGTATTACTAATATGTCATTACTATAGTAATTATTAGAATATATTTCAAAAATTGTTTAAATGATTGCTTTCAATTAACATTTTATAGAAGTAGTTTTTTTATGAAAATAAAATTAATATAAACAAATTGTAAATAAAAATTAATAATTCGATTTTTATTAAAGCGCTGGAACTGATTAATCTATTATTTATTTTATTTAATAATTATTTTTGTAGAGTTGCATGGGGGGCCGGCCGGCAAACTTCGATTTAGATTTCTCATTAATTTCCATGCATTTCATATATTCATACACTAGGCGACCATAAGTGAACAGCAAGTACTCGGAAGCCAACTGCCTGGGATTTAAATTATGAATATAAACAAAAAGCTGCACTCCGAAAAGTAAACAAACTGGGGTCATCCTATTGGTTACATTTAAAAGTAAACAAAAGCGATATTTACGGTGCTTTGTGAAATATAAACAAAGTGAATTTCAAATGTAAACAAAAATCAGCTGGATTCCAAAACGTAAACAAACTGGGTTCTTCCTATTGGTTGCATTTCGAATGTAAACAAAAGCGATCTTTACGGTGCCTTGCAAAAGGTAAACAAAATCAGCTGTCCAACATTAAGTAAACAGGCCTACTGCGCATTTATGTTTACCTGGTAGATAATGCAGATTTAAAAGTCGTTAAAAGGCCCCGGTGCCAATTGGATTTAGTTTTCTCAATTTTTACATTAATTTCCATGCGCTTTCTATATTCATACACCAGGCGAGCAAAAACGATCAGCAAGTAAACAAGCTGCACTTAAATGTAAACAAAAGCGATCTTTACCGTGCATTGCGAAATGTAAACAAGTGGCATTTCAAATGTAAACAAATATCAGCTGTCCAACATTAAGAAAACAGGGAATATATTTGCCTACTGCTGATTTATGTTCCCTTGGTAGAAAAGAGTGTCTCAAAAATGTTCAAAATGCCAACTCGGACTTAGTTTGTCCGGTTTCTACAAAAATCTATGAATTAAATTCATTAATATACCAGGCGAACATAAGTGAGCAGCAAGTAAACAAGCTGGCTGAGAGAGCGTAAACAAAAGGCAGTGGTTCCATACGGTGCATTGCGAAATGTAAACAAGCTGCATTTTAAATGTAAACAAAAATCAGCTGGATTCCAAAAAGTAAACAAACTGGTGTCCTCCTATTGGTTGCATTACGAATGTAAACAAAAGCGATCTTAACGGTGCTTTGCGAAATGTAAACAAACAACAAAAATCAGCTGTTTAACCGTAGATAAACAATCAATGCATTTACCTTCTGCTCATTTATGTTTACCTGGTAGACAATGCTGATTTAAAAGTCGTTAAACGGCTGCCCGCCGCCAACCTGGATTTAGTTTTCACAGTTTAGTTTTTTTTGTTTTTTTTGTTTAAGATTTGCGAGTGCAAATTAGTAATCTTGATGTCGTTATTAACAGCGTGCTAATTTCTAAAGCACACACATTTTTTTGTGATTAATGTGGTTTTGAAACGCAATGTAGACCATGCATACTTACCATATCCATTCGATTAAAAAAATATATTATTTCTTTCCGAAATCATTGTATGATTTCCGTGCAAGGAACAACAAACAACAAATCGTCACAACTTTGTTTTGCTTTTATGAATCGTATTTAATCAAAAGGCTAAAATTAATTAAAGCTTTAATAAACTATATAGTATATTAATACTCCCTTATATTATATAATATTGTTAACATGTACAAAGTTTTAATCATTACACTTTACATAACTGTTACGCTATTTCTCTTAGTAATCAATTCTGTTTATGTTACAATTATGTTACGTTCAAAATTGTTTTATTTTGAAAACTTTAAAAGACGATCGTCTACAGGTGTTTGAAATCCGCGAGTATAAAACTTACATTGGCAATTTTTGTATGTATAAAAAAGTTATATGATTTGAAGTTAAAATACAATACAATTTAACTATAGCTAAGTATTAAGAGTACGATGCATATTTATGTTATTTATCTGTTAATTTGCTTAGCTTAAAATTGATTTAATTTTAATTTTTGTATTTTTATGCTTGGCTTACAAATAATCCCATGGCGTTGCATCCATATTTTTAGGAAGTGTTCATATTTATAAAAATTGTCGATGTTATTTGTTTCAATTAATTAATTTGAATTAATTTATTTAAATTATCCAATGAAAAACTTTCGTAATAACCTTACACATTTTTAGATCTTGTCTACATGTTTTGTGTTTTATTGCAAATAAGTAAACTTAGCTTATCAAAATAAATAAAAAGAGGATATTAGGTTTCTTCAAAGTGAAGAACTTAATAGGCAGATGGAAGCATATCCAACGCCATAAAGTACTTATAATTTATGTTCTTGATTAACATCATAAGACGAATCGAAATAACAATGTCCGCCTGTCTTGATGAACGCCTGGATTTCGAAAACGGCTTAACGGAATTAAACCTGTATTTAATATTTGAAATTGGTAAGGCCTAAGAAATATCAGTAGTGATTGATGTTGAAAAAAAGTAGTATGAAATAATATAACGATATTTAATTGTGTGTGGTCGCTTCACTTAAAATTGGTAAGAACATCCACTTAGTGCTTATCTGCCATATTAAGTTTCATCGTGATTGGTAAATTGTTAAGAAAGTTTGCGCCATATTTGTTATCTCTGCCCAACAGCTGCTAAACCAACAGCTGTTGTTGTTGCTGCTTTGCCACAACGCTGTCCTGCAAACACTTGCACACATAGACAAAATCGTGGTTTAAAAGTGCAGTTCAATCACCGATTGAGGTATAATTGATGAAAAATTTGTTGTTGTGTTACTACACTTTTGTTTATTTCTTTTTCCCCAATTTTGTTTATTTTTTAAATGTTTATAAATATTCTACACTTAGGTACAGGGTATTTCAAAGTCGTGGCAGCCGACTCTAGCTTTTTCACTTGTTTTTTTTTATAAATCTGTGCATAAAATATTGCTACATGTAATAATTCAGGCGTTTGCTGCCAGCCGGCTCAGTGCCAACAACAACAATAACAGCAGGCATTTACTGACACACCGCCATAGACACACACACATACATATTGTATGTATATGTATACACGCATAGCGTGTCATAAATCTTTGCTGCAAATGTACAGATCTAAAAGCGCCAGAGGGCGCAGCATGAGCAGCTTGGATTTGATTCATGAATAACTCACTGATTTTGATAGATTTTGAAAATGGGAAGCATATACCCAGATTTGTAACTTACAAGTACTTTGGCACACTCGTTCATAATGGGCAATTGACTGATGCTAGTGCTAGTGCTAGTGCTGGTGCTGAGTTGAGGCTTGGGCTGTGCTGGACAGATGACCTGAAATAGATAAACATAAATTCAAATAAATGCGTGAAGTTGTCTGTTGTTCACTTTTGAGTGCTTAACGCTATTGTAATTGTACAATTTTGCTATTACAGTCACAGTCTGTAATGAGCTTCATCTCAGCCACAGAGGGGCATTTGTATACAAACACTACGCTCCCTAATTATTCAGACAGTTGAAAAGGTGGCATAAATCAATGCAAACAACTCAATAAACATACAAAACGATACTTTTATTTTGAGGCTTTATTGGGAAAGATACAATACTTGAAAAGATTGTTTGTAAAATTCCATTCTTCTTCGCAAACCGCAAACAGAGAATACAAAGGTTCGTTTGTCAAAACAATTACGCACTCTAGTGTAATAACCAATATTAGAAATATAGTCCATCGGTATGCAAGCTAAATAGGCAATCAATTGTGGACAATAAGCAGTTCATAAATGAGCGTTTCTGTTGTTGCCAGGAAATTTAATTATAACATAGTTCAGCCGCTGCCTATACTCTGCTCTTGGAATTCTTGTAAACACACGCACCTTTGGCTGCTGCCAAGGCAACACACCATTTCTCTGCTGTAATTTAATACAAATCAAATAATCATGTTGCTGCAGTTTGCAAAGCTTTGGGCGTTCTTTACGTAATACGAGTGTGTGTCTGTCTGTCTGTCTGCTGTTGTGTTTGCATTGGTTAGTCAGTCATTCTGGCAGTTGGTCAAATATTGCGTGCATAAACATTATTTTACTTCGAACAATTACACGAGGGCATGTGAAGATTCACTCAGACGAGTGTGTGTGCTTTGTACGTGTATTCGTATGTATGTGAGTTTGTGTGTTTGTTTATGCTTTGCCCCAAAAGCGTTTACAGAGACAATATGAGTGTCATCAAAGCATAACCTACAATAATTGTACACATACACAGACATTCAGACATAATCGTACAGGCCTGGCATTGCTTCAACACAGGCAGACATAAGAGTACATACTCCTACACATACAAAGATGCATTTGTGCATTCGACTGCTTATGCTTATATAAGTAAGTTAATATGCCATTAGAATGATGTGATTTTGCTTGCCCTGATCTGCAGTCCTCTGTCCAATGTCCTAAGTTCGCAGTCCACAACTCTGCTTATGTAGTGTGTGTTGTGATTTGTGCGCAGCAATGAATTTTAATTAATTTAAGAGATTGTTCTATTCGAGCTCTACATACGCAACCGCAAATGCAATGACAAATGTTGATTGAAGTTCAATTCTTTCCATGCAGGCCAATGTCTGCCACGAGACAAAAAGTAATTTGTTTCTTATGAAGCGCCTAGGATTTAGAAAATTCAAAACATTTCATTCATAGCTTCTTCTGGTCAGATGTCCAGATGTCTAGCATTGTTGAAGCATGCCACAAAAGTGATACAAAAGTAGGCAATTCCAAGGTACTAATTAGACAAAGGATTTTAAGAAGTCGTTTGATAAAGCCTGATTGATTATAGAGAATGAGGTAAACTATAATTTGTCTAATATTCTTTAACCTTCTGTTTTAACTGTTTATTACGATTTCATAGTCGCAAGCTAATTAAACTAACGCCACTTGTCAATAGCACATTGACGCGTGATTATTAGTTGCTTTCTGAAAAATAGAAATATTTGTGGTT